TCACTGTTCCAATGACAAGACTTGCACCTAATCTTAATTATGGGCTTTGGCCGCACTGAACGAAGCCCAGGATGCAGCGAGGCGCCTGGGATTGTCGAGGCGTAGCCGTGTATGAGAGGTCAGAGCATGTTTGGTGTAACGATACGTCTATATAAATAGCTCTCTCTAATAGTAGGACATCAGATGCATACTGTCTTGTTTGTCTCGGTTCTTTATATCTGTCTTCCTCTCAGTCTCTCTCGGCACTGTGTGATGTTACCTGATCCAGAAGTAGACAACAAGAAGCTAAAGATCAAATTTCTAGCTTTTAAAGCGCATCTTTGGCTAGGGGTTTCCACCAGCTAGTTATTTCTAACTGATGGTTACAGATAGGGTACAGTATGTATCCTAAAATTTCAGGGCTCACGAAGGACATTTTGACTCCCACTACCAGTTCTGGTGTTGACAGTAGAGGTCGACTGATAGGGGATTTTGCCGATACCGATAGCTAGGTTGGACCACACTGGCCGATACCGATTAATTAACCGATAGTTTTAAAATTGATACTGAACAAAAACTCAAATATTGCTATATTAACAAAAACAGTACTGAACCATACTAGTAGTAGTAGTAAAAAAATATATAGTAATAGTAAATGTTGAAATTAACACACTCTAACAAGGAACAATACTTACACAGCTTTCATTAATCTTAATGCTACAAATGGACTCTTATTTTAAAGTGTTACCATTTCATTTCATCTGCCATGCTTAAAGATGCACATCTTTAAATATATACACAAAGGCTATAGCATTAAAATTATATACATATGGATATTGTATGTATACTCTCACACTTGAACTGCTTCTATTCTTGAACACTTGATGATTATCTAATCAAAATAAAAGCGCCGTGCTGAGTCTAGGAGAACTCACCGGTATCACACACACTCCGGACGCGTCGCGTTCAACTCGAGCAGCGGTCTAAAACAGTTTATTTAATCACCAAACGGACACAAGTTTACTTCAAGAATGAACAATTTGGTATAGATGAGTTTGAAGTTCGGCGTTTAAAAAACGGCGCAAACGGAAAGAGAAAGCGCGACCTATATTATAGCTCTATAAATGAAGCACACAGACTTTATTAGACCCACAGAAAGACAAACGTTTTGCTGAAAATGCACAATACATAATTAATTATGTACATTAACAACGATTCGGGACAAATATAATGTAATTTAAAGGAAAACTATGTGAATGGCGCTCTGTGGCGCGGCAGGATTTTCTGTCGGCTGCATTTAAATTCGCATCTGAAGTTTCCCGCTCTGTTCAGCGTGCAGTATCACGTGTCTAAACAAATAGTATGTGCTGTCAGTGATTTCAACCACTAGAGGCTGCTCTCGCACTGTGTAATGACAGCAGACCCTTCTCAGCCGCTCCAGCAATGGACGCAACCCGGAAAACTATCGGCATGTATTTTTGTCGATAACCGATAGTTCCAGCAATAAACTATCGGTGCCGATTAATCGGCAAAACCGATACATCGGTCGACCTCTAGATGAAAGCTTTCACAAAAGGATAGCAATTGGGAAACGGTTTGTGGCAGAGAATTGCAGGGGGAACCAAACATTAAATGTTCATTGACATTTCTCCAAATGGCTACAGCAGATCTGATTCGGTCCGTCCATCTCCTTATTGTTTCAAAACAGCCTTCTAAATAAAATCAGCTGATGTATGTAACTGAACAAACTAAACTGCAAAAAATAATGACTGTTACCAGACATGTTTCTAGCCCAGGCTCATTGGAAATGTGTGCTTGTGGTTATGTTTTTGCAGCACCGATATTATGTACCTTATTCTATGTCTCGCAGCAGTTTCAAAGTGAAATGTCCAGTGAATACCACCAAACCCAATTCTAAACCTACCCGATGCAAAAGTGATATCAAAACGCATTTGCTGATGAAACCCTGCTATGTTCATTTCCTTCTACGCAGGCTTGAGCTGTTTGGTCGAACTGTAGTTTTCACAGGAGCGCTTCACCTGCGTATCGGGTGGGCTATCGAGCAGACCTACTGCATTAGAAAACCCATACATACTGTATGTGACGCTAACAATCAAAAGTATCAGTTTTCAAATTTCACAGCATGTTAAAATTGTTTTGAAGTCTTGACATAATAATGTTCAATCAACACAAACTCAGCACACCTGAAAAAAACGATAGCTGCGTAGGAAAGATAGTCCAACAAAACTGTTGAAAATATATAAAGATGCAATCCCGAAAACTATCTATCAGGCATGCCTGATGAAGATCAGTGGACCGAAATGTTGCTTGTGAAAATAAACTTCTACATTTAGCAAGTATACAGTAGATAGTCTGCAGAAGTGTGTCTTTTTATAACATAATAATGTGCAAGCAATTGTGTGAAAATTAGGCTTTCTTAATCGGAACTACTTTTACTTTTGCTGCCTCTTGTGTTCATTTCAACTGGAAATTGCAGTGATTCGTATGTATAGGTAAGTAATAGGTAATACCGTTCTTTCTCCAATAACATCCATTTAGAAATAGCCACGGCAACTGAGAAACTGTCATTAAAGTGAATGGGATTTTGAGAATGAATAGCACACATTTACAATTCAAAGCCATTTTAGTTTATTTCAGCTCAAAATATAGTACAATAGATGGACGAAACATTGCAGTTTGATAATAATCGAATCAAACACTTGACAGCCCAGGTGCTCAGTGGCCACTGTGGGGAAAGCGCGGAAAACGTGGTTTAATCAGAAATGAAAAGGATGCAGCTTTTGTTTTGTGGGTTTTGAGGAGCGCTGGGGAAATGAGCAATGCTCTCTTTTCCAATTATGAAAGATAAAGTTCAATTAAAATGTAAATGTGGAGACTAACCGCCACACATGCTGCATCTTTCTGCGCACGCTAGACGGAAAGACTTGCAGAAGCTGCTTGTGGAAATTCAGAAAAAAGCTCTTTTGGTCTTTGTTGTGAGCAGCTCAGGTGCAGATGAGGTATTCTCTGAGTCTCACAGCATACACACTCCAATTTTCCCACTCACTCTTTCTCTGTGTTGTACAGCTGTAATTAGGAGACCTGGGAGCAATGAATACATATATATATATATATATGTTACCATTACATATTTGTGCATAATGCCACTTTATAATTATGTTAAATTTTTTGTGTATGTTGCATTGCTCTGTGGGTAAATTTTAATTAAAGCCTTATCACTTGATAAAATGTACACATCAGAGAACAAAAAGGCATAATAAGTCAAAATAAATAATGAAAACTAGTCACATTCTGTCAAAAAAATCAAATAAAACGTTGGACTCATACAACAACTTACATTTAAATTAAATTAAAAATGTCTCTTCCTGTCATTCCAGTTCAACATTCTGTGGTCAATGCCAATTAAATTCACATTCCAACTCAGAAATTGGAAAAGAAAGCTCAGAATTTTTCGCAGTCCTTCTGTGTGACAGATAAAGAGTGAGAAAAGCACAGATTGAGCGTCTGAGCGGCGCACATGATTTTGAGTTGCAGACTGGAGCTTCAGCGGTGCAGGACAGGCCAGTGATGGATGCGCGGGATGAGTCATAGACGCTGAGCCGTCTCTACCATCACTCATCTCCCTCCACAGGCCTCAGCTGCAGTGCATTAGTCAAATTTCCCCCGCTCAAAGCGGCTAAGCCATGCACGGGACTTCCCAGCCTCTTTGTGCCCTCCTCTGTTGTGGTCAAGTGACCCTCATTACGCACAGGCACCAAAGAGTACACAGGTGGTCCTCAGGTGTGTGCAAATCCACTGCAGCACACAAACAGGAAGTGGACTATCAACAGACTTGAGGTCTCTGACATGTTGTTTGGGCATATTGCATTTTCAATGAGAATGTGCAAAAAATGTTTTATTTTAACTGAAATGTTAATGTAATTATAAAGTGCCATTATACAAATGCAAGTACAAATGCAAATCTAGTGGTAAAAAAAACATTATGATTATTAATTTAAGTCAATTCGTTCAAATAGTTTTTAAATGCAATTATTTAAATAAAATTATTATTATTATTATTATTATTATTATTATTATTATTATACAAAAACAAATAATCTATATTAAATATATAAATTATCAATACAACAATATCATAAAGGATATAAATGTTTTATTTAATATGTTATAATTGTCGTTATTATAATTTCAATATAATTTTAATCAATATTTGTTATACTGATAATTTTATAAAAATGTGAAATTATAAATTATTATTATTATTATTATTATTATTATTATACAAAGACAATTAATCTATATTAAATATATAAATTATCAATAAATCAATATCATAAAATATATGTTTTATTTAATATATTATAATTGTAATATTATTATTCAATATAATTTTAATAAGTATTTGCTATACTGATCATTTTATATAATTTTGAAAATATTATTTATTTATTTATTAAATATGTATTATTATTATACAAATAATCTATATTAAATATATAAATTATCAATAGAGCAGTATCTTAAAATATATACATGTTTTAATATATTATAATTGTAATATTATTATAATTTCAATATAATTTAATAGATGTTTGATGTACTGATAATTTTATAGAAATGTGAAAATATAAATTATTTATTTATTTAATAGTTATTCGTTTGTTTTATTTATTTATTTATTTTTAATACCAGATTAATGTTTGCATTTATGCAATCTCCTAAATTCCAATTATTGAAATTTCATCTTGTTTATGTGAAAGCTGCATATTCAAATCCAGCCTGCATCATGATCTCAACCCACCCCTGCACCCATCATTTCCTGTTAGCTATGGCAAGAAGCCCCCCCCACCCACCCAAAAACCGCTGATCAACCCTTTCCCACAAACACCTCTAATGAAACATTCTTCATGGTGTGCATCTCGTATGTAATCATATCAACAGCACACATCATTCCCAGAAGTTCCATAACCCTGATTGGCTCTCTTGTTATTGATTGACAGGTGGAGCTCTCTGACAGCACCTCCCACACCATCACCGATGCCTACGCAGGGAAAGAGTACATCATCCAACTGGCGGCCAAGGACATGGAGATCGGCACTTGGAGCGACTGGAGCGTGGCGGTCCACGCCACCCCCTGGATGGAGGAACCCAAGCCCATCACCTCCACCACCGAGAGCGACATTATCCCAGGTATGCATGAGCTGCCAACCGTACGCACACTACTCTCCTATTCACTGTAATGGCGTTCCAGTCTGCCCCCCGTGATCTCTGTTCTCCCATAAAACAATAATAGTGGCTGATAATGAGGAGACAGTGTCTGGAGCCCTGCATCTCAAAGTCGCGCTGCCCTCTGCTGTCAGAGAGGTTCAACAACAAATGAATAGTTGATGCGCTCTGAGGTTAATGAGGAACTGACATCAGGTTCTGTTAAGTTTAAGTATGAAAATTATAAAGGAGATACCATATTTAATCTGACACCAGAAGTAGCCATGTACAGTCCGTGTGAACTCAAATCAACCCTGTTTACCTTCTCAGCTCATGTTCCTGGTCAAATTGTGTCCAGTTCTTCAGTCCATTTATCCAAAAGAAAACAGACTGGGATTCTCTTGGTAGCTTGGCCTTCGGCCTCCAGTCACAAAGCCTACTGAGAACTGAGAGTTGTCCTTCACAATCCACTGCAAAGGTCTGGATTCAGCCCCAACTCCATTCTACAGACACTTTTCACCATCCAATCAGTTCCTGGAATAAAATTACAATATTTTTTTCTCCATTTTTTTTCCCTCACTGACAATTCTGCTTTCCTGAAATGCATCATATGATGGAAGTAAATGGATTTTGAATGCCACTTCATCTTGAAAACCATGTTTTTTTTGTGTTTTTTTTCATCTCCTCAATCACAGAATCTATCAAAGTCACGTCTCTTCAGTTTATCGATCAATGCGCACGTTCTCAACTGTGCAACATATTTTATGGACTGTACCGCTACCCCTTCATTCACATTATAGGGGTGTCGCAATATAATTTTGTTAAGCATCAGAATCAGAATCAGAGTCAGAAAGAGCTTTATTGCCAAGTATGTTTGCACATACAAGGAATTTGTTATAGTGGCACAAGCTTCCAGTACACGGAGACAACAACAACACACAGATAATAAAAATAAGATGTGAATAAAATGCACATGCATAAATATAAACCACAAAAAAAGAATAAATTGTATGTACATGTGTGCTATAGATAGAATAGGAATAGAATAAAATAAAGTTGTAGGGAAGTACTAGGATTTAGGGTGATAAATAAGTATACGGTTATTGCACATACTTTAATTGCACAATGGGAGAACATTAACTGTTCATGAGGTAGATTGCCTGGGGAAAGAAACTGTTCTTGTGCCTGGCTGTCCTGGTATTCGGTGCTCCGTAACGCCGACCAGATGGCAAAAGTTCAAAAAGGAGATGGCTTGGATGTGATGGATCGACGCAACCCTGAGGGGCGCCAGTGCTGGTGGTGCGGCTGTTGGATGTGAATTTACCAATTCTCACTAGCTGTCACCTATCTGTCAGAAAGCTGGTGATCCATTGACAGATAGAGCTAGGGACAGAGAGCTGGGTTAGTTTGGTCTGGAGAAGTGTTGGGATGAGTGTGTTGAAAGCGGAGCTAAAGTCCACAAACAGGATCCTCACATAAGTCCCTGTTTTGTCCAGATGTTGCAGGATGAAGTGCAGTCCCATGTTGACTGCATCATTCACGGACCTGTTTGCTCGGTAAGCAAACTGCAGGGGGTCAAGTAAGGGTCCAGTAATGTCCTTCAGATAAGCCAACACCAACCTCTCAAATGTCTTCATGACCACAGAAGTTAGGGCCACAGGTCTGTAGTCATTAAGTCCTGTTATCATGTACTCCGAGTTCTGCAGTCTTGCAAATTCTTTCATAAACAGTGTAGATACAATGTAAAAATATATTTATTTTGCAGTGTAGAAACCGTCACAGATTATAATGTGCGTTTTTGCAGGAGTGTGTAACTTGTGCTAGACTGAAGTCATGGACCGCTTCAGTGATGAGGAACGTTCTTTGCATGGTTTAAGTATATAATTTATAATTAATAAAAAAAAATAAAAAAAAATTTCATCCTAAAACAACCATCTTTCTCAAAATTGTTTAATCTTAAAATAAATAAATAAACAAACAAACAAATGGTCACACTTTATTTTAAGGTTCAATTCTTGCTATTAACAAACCTTTAACTATGACTTTTGTCTCAATAAACTCCTAATTTGCTTCTTATTGATAGTTAGTAAGGTAGTTGTTAAATTTAGGTATTAGGTGCAGAATATGTGCTTTATAAGTGCTAATAAACAGCCACTATGTTAATAATAGGCATGCTAATAAGCAATTAGTTAATAGTGAGAATTGATCCCTATACTAAAGTGTTACCAAATAAATAAATTCATAAACGGTTCTTTTTTCTCTCTCTCTCTCTCTCTCTCTCTCTCTCTCTCTCTGTGTAGCCAAAATATGATGCATTGTTTCCCCAAACACAAAAACGTATTTAAATGTATTTTATTAATCAACATTAATACATTAATAATCATTAGTATAATATTGAGGGAAATAATCGACTATGTATATGTCGCTTTTGTTCCAACTTTGCGGTGTAAAGATGTTTTTTGTTGATTTTATTGGTAACAGACTATTGAATCAATTGATTAAATGTATGTATTTGTCATAAAAGACAACACAGATACATACAATGAAGTAATTATAAAACATTTTCCTTACAAAGGTAAAACATGCTCGTGCAAATCAATTCCAGGGGAACATATATTGGCCCTTGATGGAAAAAAAGAAGACGATCATGCAGTGTAGCTACTACTGCCAGACAAAATTATCTCGTCAGAGATGAAAGACGAAAGTAAAACACTATTTAAATAATAATAATAAAATGAACTCCAAATTTTTTGGATTGCATAGTATTAGTCAACCGAGTGTGCAGTAAGTGCAGATCAACAGTAAGTCATTTCTGTACGCTTTTGTATAGTTATGGTTACAATTTATCTTTGTGCTTGTATTTTGAGTGATTCAGTCGCCAAAAAGAGAAAACAATAAATAAAGCTGAATTTCTGATGGTCTATATGCAATATTAGTTTCACTGTGTCCCAGTTTGGGATTTACGAGTTCTGATACTGTGGTCCTTTCGGGGTGGACAAAGAGAATCTTGACTTGAAAACCCTAGTGATAACCTATGTAAATTTTGTTTTATAAATAGCACTGACAACTTGATGACTGTTATTAAAAGTAATATCTAGTGACGGCTGCCCTGCTCAGTTTGATCCAGCAGACAGTATTGAGTTTCTACCCCTCCATGCACTCAGCGTATTTAATCCACACTATACTTGGAACGGAGGAAAAGAATCAAAAAGTCAGCAGAATTGCACGCTAGTTTTGTGAGCTGTGTGTCAAAACGCTCTCTCTAAAAGCTTTTCTTTCTTTCCTCCTGGGTAAAACAGGAGAACGTCCTTGTAATAATTTCTCCTTTGCTTGTTATTTCAGCATTTTATTTGCTTAATTTGAGATGAGAGTCATTGCGCGAGACAGCTCTTTCTACTTTATCTGCAGTGTTTTTCAGGGAGTCGTTTCACACATTGTCACACGGCACGAAATAATACAATAAACAAGCGATATAAAAACAATAACTAATATCTACTTGCAGTTGTGAAGTCAATTGCATTTAAAATCGCACAGCATGAAAATGTTCAGATGGCAGTGGAGCAGTTGTTTAGTTAACTCAAAATATTGTTCTAATGGTATTGTATTATAAAGTTTATTTTATTACAATGAATGCCTCATGTAACCAGACTTTTGACACGTGGTTTAAAATCGGGTCCAATCATTGGGCCAAGACCCACTCACTTACACAGGAAGAGACTGCCTAACTGAGATGTAAAGTGACCAATCATGGTTCATTTTGTTTTTATGTACTGGTAGGGGTGAGTAAATATATCTTATTAATGTTTTCCAACATATATCCATTCATTTTTAATGGCTTTTTTATCATTTAATATCTATACACCATCAAACAAAAGTGGCATAATCAAAGTAAAAAGCAATATGATATTGTTCTTACACTCTGAAAATAAATGAATGTATATACTGTATCTTAATTATCACTAAAATGTTTTTTTTTTTATGGTTGCACCACGTGACATTTAATAACCTGAAATTACTTTGCCTAGTCATAAAAAGGTCAAATTATTCAATATTGTAAGTGACTTATTCACCTTGACACATAGTCATGATGGTCTGTTGGGAGTTATTGGTGTTGGTCGCACCGCATGACTTTAAAAGTTTTTTTATATATAGCTAAAATGTTTTTTAAAAAGATTAAAAACACATTTGAAAACATGTTCATTGTGTTCAAGTCATTGAATGTATTGCTTTTTAATGTATTTTTGAAGGCATTAACAAATTAGTAAAATGTCATTTTGTGTCATTCATCCATATTTTGTACACAAAACCATGCATTTACAAACCCATTCCTTAGAAATAATGACAATTTCCTTCTCCCCTGGCAGAAACCACCCCTGGACCGCCTTCAGCCGCACCACGAGTGGGTGAACCCACAGCGGCCTGCTCCACCCTTCTCTGGTCAACCCACCTGCTCCTGGCCTGCGTCCTGCTGTCCATCATGTGGTACGTGACCTCACTGCAATGCTATTTCCATGCATCTAATTCACTGATCTTATGTGAGAAAGAATCATGAGCTTTCAATGAAACAATGTGAACAATGCATGAGGTATGAATAATGAGCAATGTACGAGCATAATCTCTGACATAGCATTTATACATCATAAGCGGATTACCATATTATTCATGCAGCTGGACTTCACTTTTCCTAATTATGTACAATACAAGCTCACAATACACTTGAGACACCAATAACTAACTAATAGTCAGAACTTATGCACATTAGGAAAAAAACTAAATTCGAATTTTCCACTTAAATATGATCAAAATTCGAATTATATTCTAATTTAAAAGGCATAATTTCAGTTAGCTGGAAAAAAAGCTTTTGGCTTCTCTCCTGAGGCCACAAGATGGCGCATCGAGCAAAATATTATGCACGTTTCTTCAAAGCGTAATAAAATAACACGACTATCTTTGGAAAAAAAAGTGCATAGTGTTTCAAATAATGTTTACAAACCATATATAATTAATAAAGTTGCTTAAACAATTAGAAAAAAAACAACACCATGCATGTATGCATAGTTTAATTCAAAGGACCGAAAACCAATCACAAAGAGCAGGCTACTTTCTTCATTTAAAAACATGAGTGGGATGGGGGAAAACCGCGTGTGAGACATGTTTTTTAAAAGTTGAACTAACATTAATTTTACATGGCTTTCTAAACATGCCACTCTCTTGTGCGAGACACGAGTGCAATGCTGATAGATGCCCCGCTAGAAAATGTGATAAATTTGCGTTCTGTGTGAGGCTAACAAAAGCATTAAAATGCAATGACTCTTACATTGTCGTCGCATTCGTGCGCCACTGATAAGGCTGCCTGACGGCTGACGTAGACCTAAAATTCAAATGCAACATTTTTGTATTCGAATGTGGATTTTTTTTGTTTTTATTCGACGAATATTCGAAATTCACATTTATTTTGATAGCCCTAATGCACATAGTTTATTAAAGAGATTTTTTAACTCAGTGAGTAACCAAAGCTGTGTCATGTTTGGTCCCCTCATTATCAGAGTTGGAGTCTTGATTTTTGTGGTTTTGGTCTTCAGACCGCTATAGACCACATAAAATATGCCTTGATCTGGGTCTCATTACTCAATGTCTTGGTTTGGGTCTTAAAACTTGAAGTAGTTCACTGAAAGTTCACCAAACTCAATTAGTCTTTGTTGGCTAAATTTGGCAAAAAGGTTCATTGTCAGTAGTGTAGTGAGGCATGAAGCACAGCTCACACAAAAACCATACAAGCAGGTTTCTGTTGGTCAACATGGCGAATCCACATAACCAACTTGAACCCATTATGAAATCTACAAGGGGAAACCTTTCGCCTTCATGCAAAATTCCCAGGCGTTTGGATTCCAATAGAAATGACTGCACTTTATAAAGGAAGGACCGCACTTCTAGTCGGGGTCTGGGTCTCAGACAAGACACAATTATCTATTTCCAAGGTACTAATGGTGATAATTAAGTCAGCCACTACTTGGCACTGTATTGCCGTACCCTTATGAAGAATTCAGAAGAAGGGCTAAGCAGCCCATTTACAAAATGTATTTATATTAGTAAATGAATGCTGCAATACATTTACCAATTTCTCAGTTCAGTTAATTGAAATAGACAAACTTTTTTTCTCAAGTCTTAAAGTAGTTCACCAAAAAAATTAAAATTCTGTCATTAATTACTCCCTAATTACTGCATTAATGACCCTCATGTCGTTCCAAACTCGTAAGACCTTCGTTCATATTCGGAACACAAATTAAGATATTTTTGATGAAGTCCGAGAGCTTTCTGACCCTGCATAGACAGCAATGCAATTTTAATTTTTGGGTGAACTATCTCTTTAAGGTATGTTTACACAACAACAATGTACTAAAAAACTGAAAAGTGTTACCTTGCATTTTTGAAAAGTTTCACATACAGATAACAAAGTTGTCAAAATGGTTCGCGTTCACACGGATTAGTAAAAACAACTAAAAAACGCCAGTAGTTGGCGATGTTGAGAAACACTATGTGCATATATGCATTTTACGCATCCCTATATACTGAATACGTAATAAGCATGCGCATGGCATCATTGTTTTCATAAATTTACGATTTTGTAGTTTACATCGAGACGATAATGGTATCTTTTACAAAAACCTGCACTTTGAAAGCTGTTTTCAAAAGTTTACGTTTTCAGGCCCCCAAAATGCTGTTGTCGTGTAAATGGACAATAAAAAATATACCTTTTTATAGTTGAAAACGGTGTAGTGTAATGCCCCTTAGTCTGGATGCAGGCCTTGAGAAGTCTAGTCTTAGTGTAGATCTGGATCTTAGTGGTTCTGGTATTGATCTGGATCTTAGTGGGTCTGGTATTTGTCTAGGTTTGGATCTTAGGGTTCTGGTTTTCGTCTGGATGGACTGGTATTGCTTTAGGGGGTCTGGTCTGGGTCTTAAAGCTCCATCTTGTAGACCATTCTTTTCAAAGACTCAAATAACTTCCACATGTGCTGTTGTCTCTGCACAAGTCCACGCGGACACAAAAACTAGGATGTGTGCGCAGACCTCGACAGACAGTACTGATGACAAAAATTATGTCACTCAAACAGTCTGTGAGCATGAGCGGAATGCGAACAAGGGAAGTATATTTTCAGCTTTAGTGGTTCTGCTATTGATCTGGATCTTAGGAGGTCTGGGCTGGGTAATTGGGGTGTGCTAGTGATGTAGGTATTAAAGTGGTCTGGTATTGTTCTGAGTCTTAAGGAGTCTGGTATTGATCGTAGTCTCACGGGTCTGGTATTGATCTTGGTCTCAGGGGGTCTGGTTTTGGTTTAGGTCTTAGTGGATCTGGGTTTGAGTCTAGAAGGTGGTGGTCTTAACTCCACTCAGACATATGCATTTTCCAAGTGCTCACAGTACTTCCAGAACGTGATTTTGTATCGCTCTTGACAGTCCTAAGTACAACACCCAATGGACTAGATATCGGCAGACTACTGGAAGAGTTTCCCTCTCAAAACAAAGACTATTGGGCTTTCTGGTAATTATGTGAAATGAACACTCTTAGACACCATTACAGTGTGGCGTCCATCCTGAAAAACTGTAGAGATACAATACAGGACACCCAACCAGAGACCATCGGCTCATTAGACCAGCACAATCCACCCAGAACGCCTGAGAAACTGAGGGACGGACCCGGTTACTGGTGCTTAAATCCACATAAACCTCATCGATCAGAAAGCAGGAGGAGATAGTCGAGTAACAAGCCTGAAATTCATTAGCACTCGGGCCATATGTTTACAGCACGCCTGTTATCTCCAACTCAGCAACACGGCATAACGAGCCTATCTCTAATTAAAGCAAGCTCATGCATGGAGCTGGAAGGCAGGAGGAAGTATATGATAGCGCCTCAGGGGTAGGATGTGTTTGTCCTCCCGAGACGGCCACATACACGCTGAAATACCTTCGCCTTACACCTCGGCACCAAGCCATTCTGAGCGAGATTTAATTGGTCAGCCCGTAACAGGCCAAGACAAAATTAAAGGCAACATCACGGGTGACTGCTCACCAATTACATCTTCCCACTGGCATGAAGTGGGAGCCATTTGGATATTGCTCTCATTGGCCCCTGCTTGTTCTCATTTGCAATACTGTGTTGGTAATTTAAATTGTTGTAGGCTGACCGCTGTATAAAAGTACTCAGTTGGGGAATGTTTTCAGATTCGTTTAAGGAGTTGACTAAGTCATTTATTTGAAGTTACACTAACACGGTGACTAAATCTAGCAGCCATTCCAAGGTTCAGAAGTTATGTAGCATGCAAAATCTGTCAAGTTCATGTCCAGGTCGTATTTCACACCAAATCACAAAGAAGTAGGAAATAATTTTGTGTAAATAAAATGAAGCCTACTTTAGAGCCATTCTAATGATGTATTATTACAATTATTTCAATGACAATTAAGCACATATTTCTCCACTCCAATTTTATTACAGTTACACCACAAATGTAATTGTAATTATGCTAACATGAAAAAAATGAAGAATTATTTAAACTGTAAATTATTTATACATCATGTTTGTTGTATAGTGATCATGATTTCTGCATAAATAAATAAATAAAGTTATGTAAAATTACTTTGATAATGAGAATCACTTCTGTGGAAAAAATAAAGATAGATAGATAGATAGATAGATAGATAGATAGATAGATAGATAGATAGATAGATAGATAGATAGATAGATAGATAGATAGATAGATAGATAGATAGATACACTCTCAGAAATAAAGGTACAGCAGCTGTCACTGGGGTGGTACCTTTTCAAAAGGTACTTATTTGAACCTAAAGGGTCCATTTTGGTACATTAAAGGTACATATTGGTTCTTAAAGTGTACATATTAGAACCTAATAGTTACAAAAGTGTACCTTTTGAAAAGGTACTGCCCCAGTGACAGCAGTTGTACCTTTATTTCTGAGAGCGTAGATAGATAGATTACAAACAGACAGACAGACGATAGACAGAAAGACAGACAGACAGACAGACAGACAGACAGACGATAGACAGACAGACGAAAGAAAGACCGATAGACAGACAGATAGACAGACGAAAGACAGACAGACAGACAGATAGATAGACAGACAGATGATAGATAGACAGAGAGACAGATAGATGATAGCTAGACAGAGAGACAGAGAGACAGATAGACAGACAGACAGATGAGAGATAGACAGGCAGACAGACAAACAAACAGACAGACGACAGACAGACAGATAGATACACATACAGACAGATAGACAGACCAAATAAACGAACGAACAAACAAATGACAGACAGACAGACAGATAAATACAGAAAGACTATTTGGGATTGCTGACATCAATTTAAGTATGTCTTTAGAGGGCAGAGTTTTGGAGAGAGGGTGTGTGGTTGAAGTTACCAAAACGCTTCCAGCACCTTAAATGGCGCTACCATAGTAATGCCTGTGATCCCGCTAACAACCAATACAGACATGAACATTTTTACACATACACTATATTCAACAGACCCCAAGAGATTTTAGTAAGTGCAAGATTCATGTTTTGCCTGCGATTCAAAGCCACAACTTTGCCCAACATATTTAAAGCTAACTCTTGAGCTAAATCCCTGAGCACTGAGGTTTGTCACCACCACAGCAATGCAAGAACACAAGCAAGTCCAATGAAACCACATGCAAACAATGAGCATGTGCATTAGCTTACAGTATGAGTCTGGCCTCACACTGCACCTAAGTGGCTTGACCTCAGCTCACCCACATGCACAGGTGAGCGGACGGCAGTTATATCACCCTCCAGCTGGCAAAGGTCTTGTCAGGCCTGCCGCTGGTACTCGCCTGGAGGCCAGACAGACAGACAGACAGACAGACGATAGATAGACAGACAGACAGACAGACGATAGACAGACAGACAGACAGATAGATAGATAGATAGATAGATAGATAGATAGATAGATAGATAGATAGATAGATAGATAGATAGATAGATAGATAGATAGATAGATAGATAGATAGATAGATACAGTTTTAAGAAACTTTCTATATTGTTTATTTAGATGACGCATACAACTAGTTATCATAGTTTTATTTTAGTAATAATACATGATATTTTGGAGAATGCTATAATTATCATTAAACATTTTTGCAAAATGTATTTTTGCCCTTGAAGTACTATATGAATGATTGCACAAAGCTAACACATATGTTCTTTTCTTCATTTTTCCAGATGTGTAAGCTTCATTCCTGTGGAGAAAAAAATGAGGAGTCTTCTATTTCTATTTTGCACATGTTAATAGATATCGTGCATTGATAATTTAATTCAAATTCTTTTTCTCACAAAAGAAAAAAAGACCTAGAAAGATTAATACACGCTGACATTTACAAAAGGAAGACAAAAGAACAATAAAACATTTCAACATCTCTGACGATGACAGACCAGACGCAGACACAGGAACCGAACCCCAGGGGAGCAAAAGATTTGGGGACACGAGACTCACCTGCCTGGCAGCACAAGAAGAAATCAAACAAACAAAACAAAACAAAATGCATCCACCTCATTTTCATTTGTCACAAGATTTTTCAGCCCACTTCGATTCTTCAAACTGTTCCAAGGACAGAAAAAGCTAATTTTGTGTAACATCGATTTCCACGACATACAGCTAACTCATCATGCCAAAGACTTGGACTGTTTTTCTTTTTTTCCCCATGATCCCTAGCTTCCCCAAACCTGTGTCTGTAAGGGATTGAAACTGGCAGTACGAAATCTTCACGAGCTTCAAAGACTGAAGAGTAACACATTTATTTTGAAGGCCATCATTTGATATCTGTTGTATTCTTTTTGTTTACCGCTTTTTCGTTTATCATTTTTTTGGCCCCTGGACACAGAGAAGTTGAAACTGTAAATAACAAATTGGTTTGGACTGTTCTGGACCGCCTTTTGTAACAGGAAGAACAACGTGTCGTGTCAGACCATCTGAAGATTAAGCACCGTTCTGAAACATCTTTTCATTCTTTGCCTATTTGCCTTTCACCATCAGTTTTTGCAGACTTTTCTAGTAAATATCACAGTTTAATACTACCTTCTTCAAGACATATCGTTTGGCTTTGTTATCATTGAATAAAATATAATTTTAGAACCTTAGAACCTTTTTGTTTATTTGTTTGTGGTTTGCCTTTTTCTTCTTTCTCTTTCTTTTCAAACCTTCATAATTGCTCAATTCTCCTTGATCATATTTTGTAAACTATGCTATGTATCTTTAACATGAGAAAAGTTTATTATTTAATAATGTATGTATTAGCTTTAGATTCTTGTAACCTGTATCTGGGTTCTTTTTATAGATGTATATAAAATGAGAAGTTGTTCATTAAATGTGACCATTTCACAATGAGTAGAACCTGTCAGTCTTTTTGTTCATGTCTATCGTTGATCGTGTTGCATTTCTCAACTGGTTTAATACTGGCGATCCAACACAATACCAAAATTCTTTACAAAATAGTCCTTAAAACCTGTATTTAACGAAGTCTGGGTAATATTTTGCATAGTTTTGTTTGTGGATTTTGAGGATGTTGACCAATGTTATCTAACTTTTATCAAGGGACAAATTAATTTGTTGAAAAATAGCATAACATTTGGCATTTTTTCACCAGCCAACCGCAGGGCCTACCAGAACCAACTCGATTGCATGAGAAAACATAACTATTTTACAAGGTACCGATTTTATATGGATTCAATCTTTTGAATAACAGTAAGCATGAAGGGCCACTCCTAAACCCAACTATAAGTAGAAGCAAGCAAACATGAAAATGTATGAGTTATGCCTGGTTCAGACTACACGATTTTAGTCCAATTTTGCCACGATTTGCTTGACGTAGCGTGTCGTGGGGATTCATAAACGACAATGGGATTCAGGACGCAAGATTCCATCGTTTCAACTCGTGTAGTGTGTCATAGTGGACGACAACCGATTCCGCGTCTGCGATGCTTCACGACAGAAAGACTAGCATGTTTAATTTTTTTTCCGTCGTCCATGACGAGTTCTGTCACATTGGTGACGTTGACCAATAGCAGCACAGAAGCTCTTTCATACAAAGGTTTCAAACATGGCGAAACTAAATAATTATGAGATGGAGGAAAGGTTCGTGGAGCTGTGACAACAGTACTCCGGCCTGTATGATGTGTCATCGAGGGACTACCACGGCAGAACAAAGAAAGGTAAATGCTGGCGAACTATAGCGGAAGCGCTTCAACAATGTTTACACTCTTGTTTTCGGAAGTCAGTCGCTAGTTCCGCCTTCTTGATGACATCATGAACATCATGAACGGTCGGGAAGCAACGTGTAGTCTGACGTGTTTCTTGTCCACGACACGACAAGATTTTATGAGTCAAAATCGTGTAATCTGACACAGTGACTATCGTGACCGATAAAAATACTGTGTAGTCTGAACCCGGCACAAGGCTATACAAATTTGCAACCAAAATAAAATATTAACAAACTGTCATAAGTGTTTTGAAAAGACGACCCACCAGTTGAGAAGCACTGATCTAGTATAAGCCACCCTTCTGACTATTGGATAAAGAATCTTGATAAATGTTTTCCTTTGACTGTGAGCTAACACTGGAAGATGAGGTTGAAGAAGATTACAGATTATGGCATTTGGAACGTTCAATTAAAGCATCCTGTGTCTCTGCAAAACATCCATAAAACCATAAAACACTCTGCAGTCATTTATATAAATGGCTCATGGTACTTTATTTTTTTCTTCATATCTTTTTTGTAGGCTGTCATTTGTGTTTATGCACACTTGCAAATACCATTCTGTTAAAGTAGTAGTTTAGCACAAAAAGGAAATTTGAATCATTTACTCACCGTTTCAAACCCATGACCTTTCTTCTAATAAAACAAGTGCTATATTCCAAGTCTTCTGAAGCCATACAAGAGGTTGCTGTAAGGAGACGAATATCTCCTGTCGGCTCTGAAATGAATTATAAGCTACATTCAGATGTCAGTGTTTGGGATTGACGACCACATTTACTTACAGGTGTGAGTATCGAAAGGTCCTGTTCACAAGAAGTATTGTCTGCCTATGCAACCATAGTGACGTGACATGACATGTGGCATGTGAAGTATGGTGACCCATACTCGGAATTAGTGCTCTGCATTTAACCCATCCAAAGTGCACACACACACAGCAGTGAACACACACACACAGCAGTGAACACACACCCGGAGCAGTGGGCAGCCATTTATGCTGCGGCACCCGGGGAGCAGTTGAGGGTTCGGTGCCTTGCTCAAGGGTCAGTCGTGGTATTGAAGGTGGAAGAGAGCGCTGTACCTACAATCCCTGTTTGTACGAGACTCGAACCCGCAACCTTCGGGTTACAAGGCCGACTCTCTAACCACAACTTCCCCATAGTGACAGTTTACTAAATAAACTCAGTTTACTCTGAAGTAATATCAGAGATGGTCAACCCTCATTAAACTGTAATGTCTCATCACATTATCAATTATAAGTGTCCAACTGAGATGTGAGTTAATTGGTCAAAACTTTTATATTACTGTAGATATCCGACCACAAAACTGACGGAAGCAGCTCCAGTGGAAACAGTGACTGCATGCAGCTCGATTCTACAAACCCTGTCTCCACCAAGAAAGAAAGAACGAAAGAAAGAAAGAAAGAAAGAAAGAAAGAAAGAAAGAAAGAAAGAAAGAAAGAAAGAAAGAAAGAAAGAAAGAAAGGACGAAAGAAAGAAAGAAGGAAGGAAGGAATGAGGAGGAGGGAGGGAGGGAGGGAGGGAGAGAGAAAAAGAAAGAAAGGAAGAAAGAAAGAAAGAAAGAAAAAGGAAGGAAGGACGAAAGAAAGAAAGAAGGAAGGAAGGAAGGACGAAATAAAGAAAGAAGGAAGGAAGGAGGAGGAGGAAGGGAGGGAGAGAGAAAAAGAAAGGAAGAAAGAAAGAAAGAAAGAAAGAAAGAAGGAAGGAATGAGGAGGAGGGAGGGAGGGAGGGAGGGAGAGAGAAAAAGAAAGAAAGAAAGAAAGAGAAGGAAGGAAGGAGGGAGAGAGAAAAAGAAATGAAGGAAGAAAGAAAGAAAGAAAGAAAGAAAGAAAGAAAGAGGAAGGAAGGGAGGAGGAGGGAGGGAGGGAGAGAGAAAAAGAAAGAAAGGAAGAAAGAAAGAAAGAAAGAAAAAGGAAGGAAGGACGAAAGAAAGAAAGAAGGAAGGAAGGAAGGACGAAATAAAGAAAGAAGGAAGGAAGGAGGAGGAGGAAGGGAGGGAGAGAGAAAAAGAAAGAAAGGAAGAAAGAAAGAAAGAAAGAAAGAAAGAAAGGAGCAGGGAGGGAGGGAGAGAGAAAAAGAAAGAAAGGAAGAAAGAAAGAAAGAAAGAAAAAGGAAGGAAGGGCGAAAGAAAGAAAGAAGGAAGGAAGGAAGGACGAAATAAAGAAAGAAGGAAGGAAGGAGGAGGAGGAAGGGAGGGAGAGAGAAAAAGAAAGAAAGAAAGAAAGAAAGAAAATATAAATAATAAAAATAGTTGTGATTTTGAGTTAACATTTTACAATTCTGCTTTGTTTTTCTCAGAATTGCAAATATATATCACACAATTCAGACGAAAGAAAGAAAGAAAGAAAGAAAGAAAGAAAGAAAGAAAGAAAGAAAGAAAGAAAGAAAGAAAGAAAGAAAGAAAGAAAGAAAGAAAGAAAGAAAGAAAGAAAGAAAGAAAGAAAGAAAGAAAGAAAGAAAGAAAGAAAGAAAGAAAGAAAGAAAGAAAGAAAGAAAGAAAGAAAGAAAGAAAGAAAGAAAGAAAGAAAGAAAGAAAGAAAGAAAGAAAGAAAGAAAGAAAGAAAGAAAGAAAGAAAGAAAGAAAGAAAGAAAGAAAGAAAGGAGGAGGGAGGGAGGGAGAGAGAAAAAGAAAGAAAGAAAGAAAGAAAGAAAGAAAGAAAGAAAGAAAGAAAGAAAGAAAAAGGAAGGAAGGACGAAATAAAGAAAGAAGGAAAGAAAGTGGAGGAGGAGGAAGGGAGGGAGAGAGAAAAAGAAAGAAAGAAAGAAAGAAAGAAAGAAAATATAAATAATAAAAATAGTTGTGATTTTGAGTTAACATTTTACAATTCTGCTTTGTTTTTCTCAGAATTGCAAATATATATCACACAATTCAGACTTTTTTTTTGAAACTGAGTTTATAATAGTTCTAACTTTATTTCTCACCAATTTAAGTGAGCAGTTTAAAAATTGAAAGAGAACACATTTGTGACTTTAGAAGATATAGTAGTTTATATCTCTCAGTTCTGCCCTTTTTTTTTCCAAAATTGAAAGTTTTAATTTTACACTACAACCTTTTATTTTCCCCCAGAATTGTAAGTTCATATTTCTCAATTGAGACGTTTTTTTCCTCAGAATTGCACTTACAATTATCTAACAATTCAATTTTTTTTTTTTAGAATTGCGAGATTATAATGTAGCTCCGACTTTCTCGCTAATACGAATTTATATCTCGCAATTCTGAGTTCATTTTGCATCTTGGAAATTATCCAATTGTTAATGGTTATCCAATAATTGACAAGAAATGCAAGTTTTATATCTCACAATTTGGATGTGAGCAGACTCTCCTATGGAAGCCCGTTTCCGCCACTGCATAACAAATAAAAAGGTAATTGCGACTTTTTATCTCACAATTCTGACTTTTTTTCTAAGAACTGCGTGATACAAACTCGCAATTGCAAGTTAAAAAGTCATAATTGTGAGATATAAACTCGCAATTCTGAGAAATAAAGTCATAATTGCATGATATATAAACGCGCAATTCCGAGACATAAAGTCGCAATTCTGAGAAATAAAGTCAGAACTGCGAGATATAAACAATTCAGACTTTTTTTTTCTCTGCGCGTTTTAAAGTCAGAATTGTAAAATATAAACTCGCAATTCTGAGAACATCCCCCCCCCTCAAAATTGGACTTTAACTCGCAATTCTGACTGTATAACTCACAATTGCGAGTTTATGTCGTTTCCGATATATAAATATGTAAAAAAAATAATTCAGAGTTGTGAGATAAAAAGTCGCAATAACCTTTTTTTTTTTTATTCAGTGGCGGAAACGGGCTTCCATACTCTCACTAACAGACAGCTAGTTGCCCAGTCTGGTTC